TTTTTCCCATTTTTTCCCGTTTTTCCCTCGATTTTCCCCATTTTTCCCATTCTTTTTCCCATTTTTTCCCGTTTTTCCCTAGATTTTCCCCATTTTTCCCATTCTTTTTCCCATTTTTTCCCGTTTTTCCCTCGATTTTCCCCATTTTTCCCATTTTTTCCTGCTTTTCCCGTTTTTCCAGGCCCCTGGAGCCGCTGGCGCCGCCCTCGGGCCCCTCTGGAAAAGGCTCCCGGAAATCCCGGGAATGCGCGGGGGAGGAGCAGCTGATCATCGTGAGTCCGGAATTCCGGAACTTCCCGGGAACTGCGGAGCCAAATCGGGAATTCCGGGAATTCTGGATCCTTCCATGGGAGGGAAATCCAGGAATTCCCTGGGAAACCTCCCTGGGAATTTGGGAATTCCGTGGCAGGAGAAATCCGGGAATTTGGGAATGTTTCCCGGGATGGGAATCTGGGAATTCCCTGGGAATGTTCTGTGGGAATTTGGGAAATCTGGGAATTTGGGAATTCCCTGGGATGGGAATTCAGGAAATCTGGGAATTCCTTGGGAACCCTCACTGGGATGGGAAATCTGCTTTTCGCTTCCCGGTGCTTGTTCCTGGAATTCCCAGAATTTGGGAATTCCCAGAATTCCAGGGCATGGGCAGTGCGGCTCATGTGGGATGCTGCTGCCGTTCCCAGAATTCCCGGTTTTCCCGGTTTTCCCGTTTTCCAGGACGTGGGGCAGCGGGCCGTGGGTTCCTGCCGTTCCCAGAATTCCCGGATTTCCCAGAATTCCCAGAATTCCCGGTTTTCCAGGACGTGGGGCAGCGGGCCGTGGGTTCCTGCGGATCCTGTGGGATGCCGCTGCCATTCCCAGAATTCCCAGAATTCCCAGAATTCCCAGAATTCCCGGTTTTCCAGGACGCGGGGCAGCGGGCCGTGGGTTCCTGCCATTCCCAGAATTCCCAGAATTCCCAGAATTCCCGGTTTTCCAGGACGTGGGGCAGCGGGCCGTGGGTTCCTGCTGTTCCCAGAATTCCCAGAATTCCCGTTTTTCCCGTTTCCCAGGACGCGGGGCAGCGGGCCGTGGGTTCCTGCGGATCCTGTGGGATGCCGCTGCCATTCCCAGAATTCCCAGAATTCCCGGAATTCCCAGAATTCCCGTTTTTCCCGTTTCCCAGGACGCGGGGCAGCGGGCCGTGGGTTCCTGCGGATCCTGTGGAATGCTGCTGCCATTCCCAGAATTCCCGGAATTCCCGGAATTCCCGTTTTTCCAGGACGCGGGGCAGCGGGCCGTGGGTTCCTGCGGATCCTGTGGAATGCTTTTCTCCGCCGCCGTTCCCGAGGATCGGCTGCAGCACCTGCGGCACCACCGGAGCCTGCGGAGCGCCCTGACACACCCCGTGAGCACCGACACGCCGGGAACACGGGAATGACACGCCAGGGACACGCCAGGGACACGGGAATAATGGAATTACATGGGAGTGACACGGGAGTGACACCAGAATGACTCAGGAGTGACACGGGAATAGCACAGGAATGACATGGCAATGACACGGGAGGGACACAGGACTGACACGGGAATGACGGGAATAACAGGAATGACACGGGAATGACACGGGAATAGCACAGGAATGCCGGGAATTACATGGGAATTACATGGGAATGACACCAGAATGACACAGGAGTGACACGGGAATAGCACAGGAATGACACAGGAGGGACATGGGGGGGACACGGGAATGACACAGGAATAATGGGAATGACACAGGAATAGCACAGGAATGACACAGGAATGACACGGGAATAATGGGAATTACATGGGAGTGACACGGGAATGACACGGGAATGACATGGGAATATCACAGGAATAATGGGAATGACACGGGAATAGCACAGGAGTGACATGGGAATGACACGGGAATGACACAGGGATAATGGGATGGTGGGAATTCCGGGAATTCCCGGAGTTCTGGGAATGATGGGAATAACGGGCTGGCGGGAGCTGCGGGAATTCCGGGAGTTCCGGGAGGTCTGGGAATGGCGGGAGGGAATGGGAGAATGGGAACGAGAGGGAATTCTGGGAATGGGAACAAGAGGGAATTCTGGGAATGGGAGGGAATTCTGGGAATGGGAGGGAATTCTGGGAATTCCAGGGGAACAGGAATGGGAATGGGAGAATGGGGAATGGGAACGGGAGGCAATAATGGGAATGGGGGAATGGGAGGGAATTCTGGGAATGGGAACGGGAGGGAATTCCGGGAATGGGAATTACGGGCACGGGAATTACGGGAACAGGAGGGAATTCCGGGAATGGGAACAGGAGGGAATTCTGGGCACGGGAGGGAATTCTGGGAACAGGAATGGGAGGGAATTCAGGGAATGGGAATTCCAGGAACGGGAGGGAATCCCGGGAATGGGAATTCCGGGCACAGGAGGGAATTCCGGGAATGGGAATCCCGGGAATGGGAATCCCGGGCATGGGAATCCCGGGCATGGGAATCCCGGGAATGGGAATCCCGGGAATGGGAATCCCGGGAATGGGAATCCCGGGCATGGGAATCCCGGGCGCGGGCGGCTCCCTGCCTGATCCCGGCGCTGATCCCGGCTCCGGCAGGGCTGGAAGCAGGAGCGCGTGGTGGCGGAATTCTGGGATGGGAAAATCCTCCTGATCCTGCCCGACGACCCCAAATACGCCCAACGGAAGGTACCCCATCCCAAATCCCAAAATCCCAAATCCCAAATCCCAAAATCCCTGCGGGGCCCGATCCCAAATCCCAAAATCCCAAATCCCAAATCCCAAAATCCCAAATCCCAAAATCCCAAATCCCAAATCCCAAAATCCCAAATCCCAAAATCCCAAATCCCAAAATCCCAAATCC